TAACAGCACATTTGGTATATATGAAGCTAGCGAAACGACCGCGAGCGCTCTATGAGCGTAGCATGTAGTCATGTTTTACATGACACGCATGTGATGATTTCCACGTTAGGGTCCATCACTTACGTTCGCCATGCAGCCATGTCATATCATACCAGTTTTGCAATTTGTCATGTGAATAAAACAGCCTCAAGAGCAGCAAAACCATGAAGTGTAAATCATGACATTCATGGCATACATGCCATTATTTTCACGTTATGACTGGGCACTTATGCTCGTCATACAGTCATGTTATGCCGTACCAAATTTGGCATTGATACCATTATCGAAACGGCCAGGAGAGCTAAAAGTCGTAGGCGGATAGATAGATAGATAGATAGATAGATAGATAGATAGATAGATAGATAGATAGATAGATAGATAGATAGATAGATAGATAGATAGATAGATAGATAGATAGATAGATAGATAGATAGATAGATAGATAGATAGATACGCTGAACGTCGCCGAAGTTTGCTGATAAATGCTTTGCATTTAAAAGCGGATTATTTTTTATCAAAGTTTCTCTCGCTTTATCACCGCTTCTCTCGTGACAAACGCAGCGTACATCCCATACCCGCTCGTCTACGGCGCCGTGATCGATGGGTCCTGCCAGTGTGGGAGAGTGCCTGCGGCACCAGCGGCAACTGCTGGCTCTACGACCTGGCCCAGCTGCGGCACTCCTACTTGGGCACGTCGGCTGGCTTGCTCTTCGCGTCGGCGCTCTTTTCGATCGCAGTCGCGGCTGTGGTGGGAGACATCAGGGACTTCTACGGGGACGCCTACTTACAGGTTTCGAGCTTCGCGACGGCGGACTTCGAGCCTCCGAAGAATGGCTTCACGAAACACAAGAAAGGACAAGGGGAGAAAGGACAGATACGCAACTGAAGGCCGCGACGTCTTCTGCGCGGACAACTCGTGGAATTCACTGCAGTGGCACGGTTTGATGTAGCGCGAGTTGCCTCGGAGATTCTCTTTGTGAACGTGCAGTGTTTATAGCCAGTTGACCGTGCGCGTCAAGATTTTTTGGTGACGACGACTGTAATCGGAACATTCGTGGGCTTCCCATTCTTTCAACCTGACTCGAACGCTCGTGCGCTGGCTCCGCACGGCGTTGAAGGTTTAGGTGTGCGCTTGCGTGGACAGCGTGCCAGATATTTCACTCGCAGCACTGCCCCTGATATTGCAGTAACTCATCACTGAATGACTACGCAGTATTACCACACGTTCGAGTCACACCGCGGCGCGTCGAATAGCTGGAAAGCAGACTGTGCTGCGAGAGCACGACTTTCGAGATTTGTTTCTATTAAGCCGAGAAAGCCTTCGCTGTACTGTATACGTCACTCAGCTTGTCGTTGTCGTAGAATTGCAGCCGCCGATGCCGCGCACCTGCAGCACATGTATTTTTTTAATGGTTGTTGACATCTGCGCAAGTAACGCGATTTTGAAAACAGTGCTCGAGATATGGAGTCCTGTTACTAACACTGAGTATTACTTACCGATGTTACGATCAAAGTCTGTCTGTGCACTTCGTGTTAAGGCTGCAAGAGCTGATGCTACATTTTGTTTGTAAATTATGTTGTCTTCATTGTCGGCGTAAGATGCGGACATAGTTCGTGAAACTGCCGCCAGTGGCCGAGTTCAGCCGGAACGAAGTAAAAATAAACTGTTTATTTTTCAAAACTGACAGCCTTTAGTGTAGATTCTGAGATTTCTTCCACGGCATTTCGCCTGCCAACCGTACCTAAAAGGAAGAGATAGAGAAATTAGTTTTATTTCTCGTTAGTGATTTAAAAGTCTTTCAATGCTTTATGAGCTCTGGTGACGTGGCTGAATCACTATGACATTTCGTAGTGACGTCACGGCATGAGTTTTTTGTGACTCTTACAAGCTTAGAGGGACGCTGAAGAGCAATTTTTTTTTCGCCTTTGGAAAATTGCAGTTTCTAGACACCAAAGGAACCACCTTTACGGTACTCTTACGCTTTGTAAGCGAGAAAGCCTTTAAAAAATTGCAGGTTCAAAAACGCATTCTCAAGTCTTTGTGGGCCGTCCTGACAAGAGCGACTCAGTGTACGGCTATGAGGAAATTAAGTACAACTATATCCACCGATTACATTCGAACATGGTTGCACCACTCCCAACGCTAGCTCCGGCCAAAATCAACTTGTGAAGATTAGGTATTGCGTAACGCTCATGGCTAAAATACTTGCACGCAATCGCCGGCCCCTACGGTCGACGTACGGTTGAAGCACGATCGATTCAGTTACCGAGGATGGCTTGGAGGGCTAGTTTGTATTGCGTAGTCGATATGGCTACAGCGCACATAAACGGGACGAAGGAAGAGTATGTCTTATGTCTTCCGATTTGTCCAACATTTCAGTTGGATTTGCGTGATGGGCCACAAGAAAGATGAGAATACCTCCCCATATTTTATTCCCGTGCACCCCTGATTTAAACAGACGCCATTCCGGGAGTGCCTCGGAGCACGCGTTGCCACAGATCGGGTCACGTGCTTTGCGGTGTGCCCCTCCGAATGGTAAATTATCTCGGAACCTAGGCATAACTCTCAACGCCGCCGGCACCGCGGTGACGTCTGGGATATCGGGTAACCGTGTAAGTGAACGCGAGGTTGTTGTTACTCAGACAGAATGTCTTACTTGCTGGATGTCCGACTTTCCTACGCAGACTGTGTCGTACTTTTGCATTTGACCCGGCATTCTTTGTGTAGATTAGGGTTGCGCCAGTATCTGTTGTTGATCTAGAAATCAATAAAAGCGCACAAAACATAATGAAGAAGAAATGTTTCATTGTTACAAGGAAACCGAGCGTGTGAACACGGACACAAGAAGCAAATCGGGACACCAGAAATGCCTTTTTAGAATGAATACGTACCAACTAGCTGAGCTTTGTTATTTTAGGAGATGATTAAGTCTCTTTATTATGCGAGTGAACTGACACAACGCTATTTGTAACGCGAATGTTAAAGGCCTGCCCTTCGGGCAGTGTTTGGTCGTTTACATTATAAGCCTTTAACTTTTCGAAAGCCAAGCGATTGTCCTGGACTGGCCTGCAGTATTTACTTTCATCACACCGGCACTGCTGCGTGTTGACCAACTGCTAGCACATTTTCGCTGGAGTTGGCCACCGCATGCTAGCACTGCCTACTTCCGGCTGCCAAGGTAAGTTATGGTCATCATATGTAACGCCAACGAGTTTCTTTCTCACTCATTACTGAGTCGTCACTGAACTTTGTTACTTTTTCCTACATCAGCAGTACCAGTATAAAATACAAAAAAAAAGATATTGACGTCTTCCATTGCACTCATTTCTGTCAGTTATTTTCCACACTATGTATGACGCATATACTAGTGGTGGTGTGCATCCTAGACTGTTTTCACTGTAAATGCTTCCACAGAAACGCAGTAGTTGCTTTCGTTATATGTTGGTTATGCAACAGATGGCACTGATCACCTCCGTGCACATTTCTTGCTCTGCCTGCTCAGTTCACAAGTGCCACCTTTGTTTTCTCCGTCTTCAAGTATCGGTAGCTTGTCATAGCCTCGTGCGACCGTGTATACAGCCTGTATTCTCCACACATTGGAAGACCCATGCTTATTAGGGCTCCGACAGCGTATAGCTCTCACACCTGCAGGTGTGCTTTATTAGTGGCAAATAAAACGCCGTGGTAGCTTTCGGCTAGCAACTGTAAGGTTTCTTCGACTGATGCTTTAAAAATCTGATTAAGCGATTGATTATGATACCCTCAAGTTTACTCATGAACTTCCATGCAGTAGTTTTATTAGATTTTTGGAGCCTCAATTAACATTTCGTGGTAATGACCATCTTTGTTCGTGTTTTGTGCCTGTAAATAACAAAATCATTTTGGCTGCTTGTGTCTGCACGCTGAAGTATCGTCAAAAGGGGCATTATCTCACATTGTTCTTTCGAAAGGTGCTGAGAAAAAAAATCACGCTTACCTTGTGAAGACCATCTCAGACAACCAGTTCGAAAGGCTGGGCTGCTGGTTATCCTAAGGGTCTGCTATACGCGGATGCGCTACCTGTAATTCAATGGATTAAAAGAAAACGAGCTAGCACTGGTATACCGGCACAACGCATTCGGGAGAATTTTAAATCCTACTTTACGTACATTTTCACATAATATCAAAAACGTTGCTCGGTGACAGGGCGTAAATATTTTGTTCTTTCAGCTCCCTTCCCACTTGCTAGCCTATGCTCACGTGTGGCTTGTGGAAAGACTAGCAATCCGGTGTGCACCACGAAACACGAGTGCTGTTTGACTAAATGTGCCACACGTATCGTGTACAACATTGCGTTGACCTACGATAACGTATACATCGGCCAAACCGGCCGACGTATTAATACTAGGCCTCGTGGTGGGCACTGCGCTTCTTTGAATATCAATGATGGGGCTATCTTGCACGGTGCTGTCGTGAATGCGGCTGCCAACCGCCTTTAAGTGATGTCACTTATCTGGGAAGATGAAAAGGCAAAGAAGAACGTGAAATTGTCGAGGCGTACTACACCAGGAAAAGCGGAGATAAATGAAGCACCGTCACTTTGCAAGTAATTTAGTGTTGCTACGATGGTAGAAAATACGATAGTGCACGTTATCTTTCATCAGGTGACGTTGTAGGTGATACTGACGCGCTGCACATGCGTGGTTTCTTGGATGAATGCTTCCCTTCAATGAAGTCGCAGTTGTTATTTACAGCGGTGTTTGTGTCCGCCTCTTTTTCGAGTCCCGCGCTTTCGCTGGCTTCCTTCAAGTATCGGGAACAAAGTGGCCCAGATTATGACTCTTCTGCTTCAATGGTGCTTTGAAGATCGTCGCGACGCTCACGTGCTGGCGATGGACGTGCCAGGTTTTCACGCCCAAAGTCAAGGAGCACCCTCCCATCATGTGGGGCTTACCTGCAGCGTCTCGGCAGCGGGGGCCGCAGCAAACGCTGGTGCTGGCGCTGGTTCGTGCTCAAGCCTGACAACAGCATCTACCGGTACAAGAACTAGCACGTGAGTGGAATCTACAACATATAGTAGCATGTATGTGCAGTCGACCACAAACGTTTACGGACCACGTGAGCGCATGGCCGAAAGGCTCGTAGTGACACTTCCGCTACGTCAGCGGCGGTCGACAACACCGCAGCGCCCCGAAAGCCTCCCTCCCCTAATTGGTGGCCTGTATCTTTTCTGAGTTGGTACAATATTTTTCATCTTTTGCGTTTCAACGCGACGCGCTTTGGGCATCTGCGTCTACGAGCTTGTGCCTGGAAGGCAGTCTATGCGCATAACTGTTATCTGTGACAATTTTTATCACAAATGACACCTAGTCAACGGAAGGCCATTTGAGGCACACCGTGATAATTTCGATCAGTGTGATGGTCATACTGCAGGTAATGGCTTCGCGTGTAAACCGCGAACTATCAATGCGCTACGCGGAAGTAGAAAAGTGAAAAGCCACTCAATAAGACTACCCATTTTCCGCCCATAACTACGATCGACGGTAGATGGCGCACCACTAGGTAGCGTGGACAGGCAGTTTGGCCCACGCTGTCGTGGTCCGCAAACTTTTGTGGTCTACTTTACAGTGCCGTGCACTGTTATGGTGAACAGGGCTCCTCATGGCCGCGTGGTGGGCCTCGATTCCAGGGGGAGCCACCGCGCCTCCGCTTCCAGGGGGAGCCACCGGATGGATGGATGAATGAATGAATAGATGGATGGATGTGGCTGTACCCTTTAGATCGGGCGGCGGCTAACGCCACCTAGCCGTATTACTTAGTGAACTAAGCATTAGATTTAACTTTTTTCCCTTTAAATAGAGAGGTTGACAACTAGTACTTTGCAGTGAAGGGTTTCATTTTCACTCGTGCCTTGACTTTAGCCACCAATTAGATAACCTCCTTCTAGTTAATTCTGCCCGCTTGAAGTCTATTTTGCCCTCCCTGTCCCTAAATATCAGTGCTCTGAAAAACTCTGCGCCATCATCCTGAGCTATAGAATGAATCCCTTTACAGAACATTATCAAGTGTTCGGCAGTTTCTTGCTCCTCTCCACATGCACTGCATACTGTGTCTACCCCTTCGTATTTGGCCCGACATGTCTTGGTTCGCAGTACTCCCGTCCTTGCCTCAAACAGTAGAGAACTACCCCGAGTATTATCATAGATCCTTTCCTTGGCGATTTCCTGCTTAAAAGTTCGATAGATCTCTAGTGCGGACTTCTTAATCATGCCCATTCTCCACATGTCAGTCTCCGTTTCCTTCACTTTCTTCTTAACCAATAGTTCTTTTTGGTTTGGCCACCTGCTGTTTTCTAAGTATTTGCCAGTCAATTTCCTGGTTCGCTTCCTCAATTTTGTATCGACATTCTTCACGTACAAGTAGCTGAAAACCTTCCTAGCCCAACGCTCCTCCCCCATTTCTCTCAATCGCTTCTCAAATTTTATCTTGCTGCTAGCTTTCCTGCCCTCAAATGATGTCCAATATCACCTTGTGCTCTCTGATTTGGTGTATTCCCGTCAGCTCCTAAAGCAAGCCTGCCTATTCCACGTTGCTTAATTTCTAATCTTGCTTGAACTTCTGATCTCATGCACAAGACCGCATTGCCGAACGTCAGCCCAGGAACCATGACCCCTTTCCATATTCCTCTCACAACATCATACCTACTGTAATTCCACAGTGCCCTATTTTTCATCACTGCTGCATTTCTGTTACCTTTAGTCGTCACGTATATTTCGTGTTCCCTCAGATACTCGGTCCCATTGCTTATCCATACGCCCAAATATTTGTATTTATCTGTTATCTCTAGCGTGACCTCCTGTATTCTAAGTTCACTGCCTTCATTGTCATAAAAAATCATGACTGCTGATTTTCCTTAGTGACTCTGAAATGTAACCTATCTTCCTCATTGCCGCAGATGTCCACTGATCTCTGCAAATCTTCCTTGTTGTCAGCCATTAGCACTATATCATCTGCGTACGTCAATGCTCGGAGTGCCTGTTCAAAGAGTTTTCCTTGTTTGACGAAAGAAAGGTTGAAGCCCAGTCCACTACCCTCTAATTTGGCCTCTAATCCTTGCAGGTACATCATGAATAATAAGGGGACGGGGCACCACTGCCTAACCCCCCCGTTTTACCTCTGCAGGTTGGATACCTTTTTTTTCCACCTTTATAACTACCTTGTACCTTTATAGATACCCTTTAAAGATTAGTGACTACATGTTCCACGCCTAGTGTGTCCAGTATTCCCACAATTCCTCTTGAACCACGCTATCCTACGCTCCCTTGATATCCAAGAATGCTAGCCACAGGGGCCCGTGTTCCCTTTTCTGCTATTTACGATGCACTGCTGTCAGTGAGAACAGATTGTCTTCCAACCTCCTGTGTTTCCGAAACCTATTCTGCAGTTTCCCCCCAGCACCCCCTCATCTTATCCATGCCTGCAGTCTTTCCTTTATAATCTGCATCGCCAGCCTGTGGACCACTGATGTCACTGTATAGGGACGGTAGTTGTTTATGTCAGCTTTGTCCCCCTTTCCTTTATAGATCATGCTATCCTGCTAAGTTTCCATCCATCGGGAACTTCACCATCGATTATTAGTTTGCTCACTGCCTCTCTCAAAGCTGCTTAGATTCGGACCTAATGTTTTTATCAGCATAATTGGAATGCCATCTGGGCCTGTTGATGTACTACTAGAAACCCTTTTCTCAAGCCCTTTCCCACTCTCGTTGGGAAAATGGAGCCATTGCACCACTTGATTCATCCTTGTCTATGTGGTGCATAAGCACTTCTTTGTTGAAATTCTTCTGTCACCCTTGTTATTATATATTCAATAGCTTCGTCCCCTTCTAGCCTAGCACCTTGGGCTGTAGTATAAACCTCTGCTCTATGCTTGTTTCATTTCTTAGGGAGTTTAGATAGTTCCAAAATTTCGCAGCTGCTTTTATATCTTTTTTATTGTACTTCTGCCAGCCACTGAGCTCCCTTTCTTCTAATCTTTTCATTGATCAGAAGGGATGCATCCCTTCTACAGCTTAGAAAGGTTTTCCCATTTTTCTTTCAACCTCATCTGTCGGTTCACCCCGCTGCTTAGAATGTCCGTGTTCCCTAGAGGCTTCCTGGCGTTTTGCTTTGGCTTTCTTAACTTCCTCATCCCACCAACTTTTGGGTTTGTTGTCTTCTTTTCCGGGGTGACTTGTCACGCGTCTTAGCAAGCTCTAGCTCAAACAGTCTAATTAGATTCGTGCATGTCCACACTGTTTCATTATCCTCCGTGATTACTTTCTCAATTTGTTAAGTGGCTATTTCAATTTGCCTTTCTGGATAAAATTTTCATGTAGTTGGCAGTTGCTCATCTTGTCTCCTTCACACTTTCACCTGCTCTTCCAAACTTAGCTTGATACGTTTGTGATCAGTACCCAGACTTCTGGAGCCACCCTCATCTATGTGCATTCCCCTGAGCTTATCATACATTCCTATGTGACATCAGTGCATAATCTATCGTCGACTGCAGCCTTCCTACCTCCCATGTTATTTTGCCCTTCACACTTCTCGGTACTGTTGCAAATGATCAAATCAAGCCTTTTACACATATCCATGATCATTTTGCCTGTCGGGTCAGTATACCCATCTATATCTTCTATGTGCCCATTCATATCTCCTAGTATAATTATCTCGCACTCTCTTCCTAACTCCGGAATGTCCTTTGATATACACTCTACAATTACCTGCTTTTCTTCTTTGGCCTTTGCTCCCGTCCACAAGTACACAAAACCAGGAGTGTAATTTGACCTGCCACTTTTCCTCTTAGCCACAAATGTTCCTTGCACTCCTGCTTGACCCTTTGCCAGTCTGTACTTTATGAATGAATGCCCCAATACCACCCCCCTTTCTGCTGACTTCTGTTCTATTACAATATTCCCACGCGTATTCTGGATTGTTCGGAGGTTGTTTCATGTCCCAGAGATGTGTTTCTACAAAACCGTAAACCACGGCTTTCTTCCCTTAGCTGTTCTTCTATCTCTTCCCACTTCAGCCTGTTCCTACCGCCCTGCATGATAATATACCTTTTCAATGACTCCGCGCCGCCTGGCGGCCGTATTGGTTCAAAAGTTTTGGTCGGCGCGCAGAGGCTAGCGCAGGAACGATGCTGTAGACACTTTGTTCTTTACGTATTTGTATTTGGCCGCTATCACTGGCTGCTGTGTACTGCTATGCACTAGTTCACACGCGAAAAGCCAGCGAATATTTAGCTTTACCTCGTAAGGACGAGCGCAGAAAAAGAAAAGGGGGGGGGGGGGTAGCACAAGTGAAACGCGACCATTGGCATCTGATCGACAGCACCAAGATATGCGAGGCTAGTTGTTAACTGTCGAGGCGTGCACGTGGTCAAGCATTTTGTTACCCGTGGCAGTGAGCATGCTGTTATGAAATCCTTGCTTGTCTCGCTGCGGCTGGTTGCATAATCGCCGCGTGAAGCTGCTTTTACAAAGAGGATGTTGAGCTTTGCGTTAAGCCGTGCGAAGTTAATAGATGCTTTGGCTACTATAAAGGTAGATAAGCTAAGTCAAGACCAGTCAGTCATAGCTCATGCTAAATGGGGATAGTCAGAACAATCAATAGAAATCGATACAAGTCAATACTGATTGATGCTCATTGATATCAGTTAAGCCCCCGGATCAAACTAGCGGGTGCTTAGAAAAACCCAGTTAAGTCAGTATATCGCCACCTAATTGAGTTTGGACTAGTAAATTTGACGCTAGTCGATACCAACCTGTACTGATAGCTACATATCAAGTAGGATTAGGTAACATCAGTGAAGAACACGTCGAAACACGCTAATCTGGTCCAAGAACACGATAATCTGGTCTGACTACGTTATGTTATTTGAATTAAGCATGAATAAATAAATCGGCGCTAAGTTAATTCTGAACAAACCAATGTTGAGTCAATTGAGAATGACTAGCTGTTTGAGTGACTGCATATGGTATCATTAAGCCGATGCGGTAAATGTGA